AACCCACCAGCTCCAGTGTATGTGGCTGGCACTCTAGCCACTGAGCTACAGGGGCCATGGGGTTTTCCTTTTAAGAGCAAATTTTAAAGCCAGGCCAAGCCTAGACAAAGCAAAACAATCTCTGACCCAAGCAATTTCACGGGAGCTTTGAGATACGAACTTCATAGAAATTGTACAATTTTCCTAAATAGAACTTCTGATTCTTGGAACCTTTCTTGTTTGATCATTGGCAGGAGGAAGTGATTGGAGATTTGAAATCGGGCACTGAATATCAAGTGAGCATAGCAGCTTATAGCCAGGCTGGCAAAGGGCGGCTCAGCTCACCTCGCCATGTTACCACTTTGTCCCAAGGTAAAGTAAGTTCAAGTGCATTAGTAATAGAAACGTGATGGGCTACTTTTCATTGATTCCTTCATTCAGCAAATAGCAGTAAGGACCTAATATGTGCCAGGCACTATGCTAGACTCTGGAAATTCAGCAGTAGATGACAGCAAGCACAGCTCCCGCCCTCTCCCATTAGTGTGCAGTTAAAGATGGTGAAGATCATCTATATTTCTGTCTAACAAGGGTACAAATGATCTTTTCTAGAACTAGAATGTAAATGTTTTGACACAATGACCATGCAAATGACATGAAATTTATGTGAACCAGCTTGATGAAAGTATTTCAAAATGTATATGAAAACACTACACTGTACCCCATGTTTGCATTAATGTAATAATAAAAAAAAAAACAGAAAAAAAAAGAAAAAAAAATAAAGATGGTGATAAAAGCTACCGGTGCTGCTGTAGGAGGCATAGGTAGGAGTGAGCTGTCATTCCCTGAGTAAGTGGAGATCTGATGGGGGAGTAGGAACTAAGGAGGTGAAGGAGGGTAGGGGGAGAAGAGATTTATAGGCAAAGGGAACATAGCAAATGCTTGTGGGGGGCACCATTCTGGATATAGGGCCATGGAGGTGAGTCAATGACAGTCATTGCTTGCACATGCTCTGTGCCAGAAAAAGCAAATGTGGGCAAGGGACAGCAGGACATCTGAGGTCTGCACAGCAGGCTGGGGCACACAGGAGGGCACCTGCCTCTGCCTGCAGGCCCAGGGAGGCCTCTACAAAGAGTCATATCTTTGGCCCAAATTATGCAAAATGCATAGGGTTTTTCCAGGGAGAGAAAACAGGAAAAATCTTCCAGGCAGAAGCAGTACTGTGAACAGAGGCTGAGAGGTATGCTAGCCTTGGACATGAAGATAGAACTAGCAGTCACTTGAGATGATGGGACCTTGGGGGCTCCCACATCTTTGCACATGAAAGCACTTCCCAAATGTCCCACCCTTTCGTGTATTCTAATTGTCAGAGGGCAAGGCACACACACCCAGGAATGGCAAGTTGGTGGCAGTAATGCTAAGCATTTAATTTCCCTTGTTGGTAAGTATTAATTCTCACATGCAAACAAAGAAGAAAGATTGTTAGAGGTGGGGCTGTATTGAAGGTTTTCAAGGGTCCTTACCACTGTGTGCTCCGGGTCAGTGGCCGGGACATAATTTACGTAGATTTGCAGTCAGGGGTGCTGGGGAAAGAAGGAAAGACCAGCTCTCATTGACTCCACACTACGTGGTGGATCCAGTTGTGGTTATGTTTCTGTATTTGGTCCAGGCTTCAAGGCTGGTTTGAATAGAGATGTTCTGGTTGTACAGTGCACACCTACTGTTTAGGGACTGAACCTCTCCAGTGGCTGAGACCCTAGCCAACTCTAGTTGTGTTTGTCATCCCACCTAGATTCCTGTCTGCCTCCAGCAGCGCCGCAGCAGCCACACGTCACCGTGGTTTCTGATTCTGAGGTGGCCCTCTCTTGGAAACCTGGTGCAAGTGAAGGGAGCGCCCCTATTCAGTACTATTCCGTGGAATTCATCAGGTAAGTCTGTGTCCCATTCCGAAGCCAAATGTGTAGACCACAGATGTTCCAAGCGTGACGTAAGAATTGGGGGCAGGGGGTCATCTCTAGATCAGGTGCGAGGTCAAGAGCAGACGAAGGCTCAGAGGGCCAGTGCACACCCAGGACCAGCCCTGTCCCCACACCATTTTTGCTGCTGGGTCATTTGGTAAACCTGTCCACACTCACCAACCTCTTTCCCATTTCTCTGCCACAGTCAGAGTCTGGTCTAGGCTCCCAAACTTCTAAGGCACTATTGCCAACAAGCCTGCCTGCATTTGAAGCTTCAAACTTGCCCTTCTGGCTTTGAAACATATATGAAAGTAAATATTTCATGACTTTTCTCAGGGGGAGGGGAAAAGAAAAGCCCTTTAAAAACAAGTGCAATCTACTGTTCCCTTCACATTGGTATTGCCTAGGGACGAGTTTCTTGATTTAGTTTCAGCATTTTGTTCTTGTCTCCCCCTCTTAGTTCTTATTATTCAGCTTATCAGAGGGTAGAGGAATGATTAGAAGCTCTTATAAGAGCTTACAGGTATGAAAACATTGATTCTCAATTCAGTGATGCTATGTAATCTTAAGAAAGAAGAAAAGAAGGAAAGAGAGAGAGAGAGAGAGAAATAAAGAAAAGAAAAGTAAACAAAGGAATTCCCAGTCTCAGGTCTTTCCTCTGAACTCTAGCAGCTGTTTGACTTTGAACTGAAGAGGTGGCTGCAGAGTGAGTGTGAAAACAATGTCTGTGGACTTGGTTTTCTCTTCATTAAAGGTGATGGGGCTTGTCTGAGCCCTGTTGCTTCATGGATTCATAAAGAGACTGGTTCAGCACCTCATTTCTGAGGCCCTCTGAAGCTGGGACCAAGGATTCTGCCCAGATTAGATTAGCTCTGCTTCTGCTCCTTGGCTTCCTAGCCTATTCCCTGGTAGTAGAAAGCAGGTGTTTGCTTCCTCAGAGGACAGGTGGTGCACTGAGGCTAGTGTTCAAATCCAGAGTGTGTCAGACAGGGCTTGCTGAATGGCAAGTGGAAGAGGCATGAAAGGAGAAGATGAGGAAATGATGCAGTGACTCATGACTGTAAAGTCCACAGCCAAATCTAAACTTAGGAGATTAGATCCTTGTCACATCTGCAGCCTGTCCCCATCCCTCTCTCTGCTTTAGTGGCTTTTCAGGCAGACTTTTCCCATATGGTGGCAAAATGGCCATAGGCACTTAAGACCTACAGTTTTCCACTCCCTACTGGGAGGAGAGTGGCTGCTCCTCCATGGACCCAGTGAAGTTTTGATATTCCCTCTAATCTGCAGGCTGAGGTCCCTCTCCATTCTCTGAGCAAATCACTGTGGCCAGAGTAGGGAGAATTCATTGATTGGTCAGGCACTTGTCATATTCCAAGTTCTGGAACTATTAATAACTGGTAGGTTATCAAACCTGGAGTACATGGATTGAGTGTTCTGGAGGACTGGATTCTTAAAGCAAAATTGGGGTACAATTACTGGAAAAAAGGGAACAGGTGCTAGGAAAATTGAAAAGAAAAAAGGAACAGAAAAAAACTACTCTAAAGCCCCAAACCCAGTGTCCTTCATTGAGTATAATCCACACTTCTGCAGAGCTGGCAGGCAAAACCTGGGATACGGCGAGAATAGAAAGATTCCAATCCTGTTTCTGATACTAGTTAAATATGCAACATCGAAAATTCTAAAACTGCAGCTTTCTCATCTCTAAAACTTGGAGCAAAACTTAATGTTTATAATTTAGGACACAAGTAAATTAGACCACATTAAAAAAGCAAACTGTAACACTGTGCAATTTTGAAAAAAATGCAGGTTTGTGGTAGCTGAGCAGTTTATCTTTGCAACTCTGAGCCAAGATGAGAGTTATCATTTATTATTAATTTTGCACTCAAACACATTATTTAAGCTTGCTCTGTGTCTGGTATATTGACAAAAGATAGAAATGGCAGTGTTTTAACCTTGGTGCACATCTGAAGGTAGAAGATGGAACAGTGTCTTTGGATTCAGAAGCAGAGGAATGGGGAGAGAGGGCTGCATCCCCTGCCTGCCAGCCACATGTCCCTGTGCAGGCCACGTCCCCTCCTGAGCCTCCACGCCTCTCAGAGTGGGATCCCCTAAAGCAGGGCCTCAGACAAGGACTCAAGTGCAAGTAGTTCATTTGGAAGCGAGTGGAGAGAATGAGACAGAGGGCTTATGTGTTGCTGAAGTCACTGCTGCAGGTGATGGGTCTTCTCTGCAGCCTTGGTTCCATTGACATCTCTCTGGAGCTTACAAAATTCCACTCAGATTGCACATTTCCCCCCTGGCGTCTGTGTTCCTGTGCCATGTGAGGGCTTCCCTGTGCTATATTGTCAAGTGGTTAAAGAGGGGAGCCCAGGAGGCAAGGAGGAGTGACAGGAGCCCCGCGAGTACTAGAGGCTGGCCGTGGGCTGCAGGAGGCGAGTCGGACTTCTCCCAGAACTGTCCACACCACCTTCCCTCCACACCAAGGGCAGGTGACTGGCCCCAGAGGCAGCCACTGTAAACTCCTTATCTGCACCACATGGGCAGGCCATGACTTCTCCCAGCCTCATAGTGTGTCATTAGGGGGATCACAAATGAGAAACAGCTCCAGAGATGTTAATATTTTACAAACATGTAAGGCATATATGGGTGCGTGTACCTGTATTTAATAATTGTAATTCCTTTTCAACAATTTTAATGTTCGAAACTGTCTTTAACATCCAAGGAGCTCAAGGTCCAGATTCTTGTGTATATTTTTCATTACACATCCATTCTAATGAACTGTCAACATACTTTCTATTTACTTTGACAAAATACCTTTACCATACCTTCAAATTTAAAATTCCTGGACATCCAGGAGCTCTAATGAAATATGGAGGTACAGGGGAAGCCAGCCTCTGGTTGCAACCCCTGTAACTAGGAATTCTGCCTCTGTCTTTTCCAGAATATGTAACTCCCATCAAGTGTAATTCCCATCAAGTGATTTTATCTTAGAACCTCCATTTCTCCATGTGTAATAGGAAGCAGAAACAGCCCTCGCTGCAGGGTCACTGCTCGTAGTTTTTGCACCATGTTTACCCATAGCAGACGTTCTGAATGCATTGGTTTCCTCACTGTCATACCACCATTTCTCTTTTCCAAAAGAAGACATTTTGATCAAGGGCTCAAGTTGCTCTCCAAGGTGAAATGAGTGGTAGGCAACAGAATTAAAATGAGAACTGAATTCTGACTTCCAGCCCCAGTGCTCTTTCAACAAAACTTGATGCCCCTTTATGTCTGTGCTGATCTTCAGACATGGAAAGGTGGACTCAGCCTGCCCCGAGTCCTGGTAGCTGAGGAAAGGGGAAGCCTCACCACAGGACCCTTTATGAAAAGCCTGTGTTCTGTAAAATTTGGATTCAGTCCAAAGGCCACACTCAAGGATCCAGAAGGCCACCTGTGGTCCCAGGGCCGCAGGTTCCCCACCTGTGTTTGGGCTGCTGTTTGATGTTGTTCCTGAAAGAAAGCCTTCACAGCTTGCTGCAGCGTGTAGTGTTTGGCTGCGAAATAAATCCATCTGTAAACAACTCAGAGTCTGTCCCGTGACAGGTGAGTGCCTGAGAGTATGTGAAGAGAGCTTTCCTGGGCTCTGCTTCACAAAGTGCATTAGCGTGTGCTGTGGTCAGAAGGTCTGTGTCCCTGCAAGATTCGGATGTTAAAATCCTGATTCCTAAGGTGATGGAGATTAGGTCATGAGGGCAAAGGCCGCATGAATGGGATTGGCGCCCTTATAAAAGAGCCCCAAGAGAGGCCCCTCACCCCTTCCACCATGTGAGGACACAGCAGGAAGACGCCATCTATGAACCTGAAAGTGGCTCTTACTAGGCACTGGCCCCTCACCAAACACTGAATCTACTGTCACCTTGATCTTGGACTTACCAACCTCCCAAACTGTGAGAAATAAATTTCTTTTGTTTATAAGATACCCTGTTAATAGTATTTTGTCATAGCAGCCTGAACAGACTAAAATAGTAGGAGAGGCTTTGGGGAGTCAATTATTTTATTTTCCCCAGACAGTTCCTTTCAATGTTTAATAGCGCATTCCTCTTCCTACTTCCTGTGTGCTTCCTGGGTATGGAAATACATGTGACAGTTCTCTGTGTAGCCTAGAAATTCCGCATCACATTTAAGAGACAGCCTTTTGGCAGGCCAAGGCTCGGAAATTGTAGAAATTGGTTTATCCCCAGAGGTAACCATCTTTATGTGAAGTTCTCATCTAAATTCTGTCACGGAGGGATTAGGTTGGCATTGGCAGGCATTTATACATCAGTTACTCTTCTTATTTGCTATGCAATAGGGGTAATGATAGCGAAGGCAGTGTTAGGAGACAGCTAACAAAAAAGTTTTTTAAAAATACCTAACTGGGCAGTGCCTGTGGCTCAAAGGAGTAGGGCGCCAGCCCCATATGCTGGAGGTGGTGGGTTCAAACTCAGCCCTGGCCAAAAAAAAACTGCCAACTCCCCCCCCCCAAACTTAACTGATTAATAACAGGTTAACCTGAGAAACTATACTAGACTAGCATATGGAAGTACTGTTTATTTGCTTTTTTTGATATTTCAGGTATACTTTATATATTTATGATGATATCACAAATCATGGGCTTAGGACCAACCCAAACTTTGTTCTTCATCTAGTTTCTGTTTCTGCTTCCCCCAAACAGAAGACATCTGTGATCTATGTTGTGAGCGCCCTGAAGGTGGGCTCTCTGTGACTGCCCCAGAGGAGAGTTTGGCCACAGGCCCAGGCAGGATGAAGGTTTGTAGAAACCAGAAATCTTCATAATCATCCCCAAAGTGGGCCTGGGGGCTATTTACTAGATTCTTTGCTAACAGTAGATTGTTAATTTTTAAGCAGTGTAGAAATTGAAGAGCCAAATTCTAAGTAAGCCTGCGGACTGTAACATATTTGCCACATTTTAAAAACTTTTACCTGCT